GAGAGAGAGAGAGATCACAAGTAGGCAGAGGCAGGCAGAGAGAGAGGAGGAAGCAGGCTCCCCGCCAAGCAGAGAGCACGATGCGGGGCTCCATCCCAGGACCCCGAGATCATGACCTGAGCCGAAGGCAGAGGCTTTAACCCACTGAGCCACCCAGGTGCCCCTGGACTTGTTTCCTTTTTAAACTTATCTATTTACCATGTTTCTTAGTTTACTTTATTTTTTCCTTCCTTCTTTTGCTTAGATTTATTGGCTTTACTGAATTTCACTTTCCCTTCTTATAATTTATAAGCCATACCAACTTCTACTCACCAAGTGACCATTCTTAATTTTCACCAACAGTTTAAATTCGCATTTTTTGGTTTCTCCAACCCAGAGTCTTTGATTTTGTTTACTTTGGGGGCAAATTCCCTGAAGTGGTACCAACTTGCACCAATCTTTATGATATTTAAACTTAATCAGCACAATAGCCTGCTAATGGCATCACTCTTTTTATCTTGCCCTCCTCTAATCTTTTCTCCAGTAAAACCAAAACACATCTTTTGGAATTGAAATACTAAATGGCATTTTATAATTTAAAATTTGCATCTCTTATAATTTTCAGGATAAAATAAGAAATCCTCAGAGTGGCAACATGCTATGTATTTGGCACATTTCATCTACATCTACAGACATTCACCTGTGTTCTACTGCTTTACCTAATGTTCCAGGTATATAAAAACTATAGGTAATTCTCTGAACATGCATCCATGCTTTTTCTCAGACTCTTGTCTATACCTGGAGTACTCTATCTCTCCTTCTCTGCATCTGGAACTTCAAAGCATCCTTCAAGTTCCAGCACCAGTTATGTGCCCAAGAATTACTCTATTGCCACTACATTCTGATGTGTTCGTTCTCCACTGTCTATTAATTATTCCCCTTTCTGAATTATTTTGGCATTTTTTATGTACCTATAGATGTTGTAAATAATTTATTTACCTCTTCCTCCCTTATCAGACAAAAAGAGATTTAAATGCAGGGATGTGTTTTATTTGTCTCAGAATCTTCACTGTGTGCTATACAAAAGATGCAATGACATGACTTATTTAATAACAAAATGAAAAATCCCAAGTTGATTGTAGCTGCTTTTCTGTTTAGAAATAAGGGACCTAAGGTATTATGCTCTCATGAGGACATGGACTGCTTACTGCCATTTGGTAGGACTCTACAAATTTCTTAGGACTCTCACTTTGTAGACTGGTCTCTGATGTTGGCTCTACCATGGGTTCCTTATAAAACAACTACAGAAGCCACTTCCATGTCTCACATCTGATATTAAGGTAGTCCTAGGGCCAGGGGCAATGACCACGGAGGCCCAAGCAAGTTTATGGGCAAAGCACTGGGAAAGGAACTGCCAAGACACATAGAAATAGCCCCCAGCCAAACCACAGGCTAAGCTGAGAAGCTCTGCAGTACATAGGCTGAGGTCAGAACAGAATAATGAAGAAATCATTCAGGCAGGATGAGGGAGTCTTGGTGCTCTGGTGGCAGAGAGGCTAGATAGAGAATTACAAAAGCCAGTAGGAAGGATCTAGCATGGCACACTAAGAAGTTCACACATCTCCAAGAGACAATGGGAGACCAGGGGAAGTTTTTTAAGAGACATAAAACCATTTATCATAGAATTTGGACTTCAGCCTCAGTGTCTAGCTGTACATTTGGTGTCTACAGATAGAAGAAACCCAGAGGTTTGAAAAATAATATTGTAGGAAAGGCATGAAGGTCTATAAATCCAGGGCAAAGGATGAAGGTGAGGAAATGGAGGTAGTGGTGGGCTACCTTCAAGGGATACCTTGAAACATAAGTTGGGGTCAGATTGCAAAGGGCTTGTAAGACATGGTGGGTGCCAAAGGAACTAAAGAAGGATTTTAAGCAGGGCAATCAAAGAGGGCAGAGGGAAACTGAATTTGCATCCAGTTTGCTGAGCGTCAGGGGTTAGTCACAGACAAGGAAGAGAACCCTGCCAAGGCAAGGTGGTTCATGGAGAAACTGGAAGACAGTCCCGCTCCCTTAGGAGAGTTTGCTCTGGGTCTATAGTTTATTTCTGGGATCTTGACATCAGTTACTGGATTAGATCCAGATGATGCTCTATCAAGAATATGTTTAATAAAGTCAAGGTGGTTTTTCACCATTATTTCACCCTTTCCATTATTAAAAAATAATTGGGGCACCTGGTTGGCTCAGTTGGTTAAGCATCTGACTCTTGATTTCAGCTCAGGTCATGATCTCAAGGTCATGATCTCGAGCCTCACATTGGCTCCATGCTGAGTGTGGAACCAGCTTAAGATTCTCTCTCTCCCTCTGCCCCAACTCTACATGTACATGTGCACCCCCCCTAAAAAAAACCCCAAAAACCACCACCACCAACAACAAAAACCCACCATGTTACTTCTGAACAGGTTGTTAATTGCAGGTTGTCTGCTTTAGCTGGTTTAAGCAGAAGGTATCTATATTCTGTAATACCTTACAAAGTATCTTGGAATGTCTGGAACTAGGCTTGGTTGTTACAGAGAGATCACGGCAGTTTATAAGAAAGAAAGAGGATTTGAGACAGATGATATGCAACTGATTATACCTTTCTCTTTCAGAAGTCAGTCCAGATTCTAGTTCAATAGCTAGAGAAAATGATGGACAGAACTTATGATGGCACATTCACCCCTAATACAGATATAAACACAATATAACTACATGTTTACTTAGAGGAACTACTTTTCAAAGGGGAAAATAATAGACAAATACAGAGATTAGACATCACATAGAATAGATATAACATGAAGCAATCTTTTAAGTGGGTTATATGGAAATTCTATTCCATGCCCACAAAAGCAGGGCTTCCCTGGGGTCAGGTTATTATTATTATTTTTTTATTAGTTTTATCGAGAAGTAAGTTATATGCAAGAAAATTCAACAATTTTAAGTGTGCAATTTGATAAGCTTTGACAAGTAACTAGAATTGTAAGCAACATGATATAAAACAGTCCATCCCTCCATAAATTCTCCCATATCCCTTTGAAGTCAATCCCTTCCCCTGCAATGTAGGCCCTGGGCTAGACTGATCTTCTGTCTCAGTAATTTTGATTTTCTAGAAAAAGATTTTATACAATATGTAGTTTTTTGTGGCTAGCATCTTTTATTTAGCACAGTTTCTTAACTTTTAAAATTATCTCCCTCATAAAGAGCCTTTTTAAGCCATTTGTTCCCTGTTTTCCCCCTCCTTATGAAATTTTAATACCACAGATACACTCTGTCTGTTTATGTACTTATGTATATGTTTTATACTTAGAAAGTGAGGTGTTTTTTTTTTTCACACCTCAAGAACACACTTTTGAGAATACGTGATTTACATGTATGCAAGTATAATGCTTTTGTGATTCATCAGTGATTCATTTTTGTTGCTGGGTAATTTTGATTATATGAAGAGACATTCATGAAGTGAATAAAACTAATTGCAAATGTGTTACAAAGGTACTAAGAATATAATTCAACTACTGTTCTTCCTCAAATTAGATCCTCAGCCTGTTGTCAGTAAGCAGATTTCTGATCACATAATTGTTGGAAGTTAGAAATCTAGGAGTGACTGAGATACCTTCTTTCCCTTCGTTTCCCCATATACAATCCATTGAATTCTGTCAATTTCACCTCTAGATTCTCTCTCTCTTTTTTTAAGATTTTATTTATTAGAGAGAGGGAGGATGAGTTGGGGTAGGCAAAGGAACAAGCAGACTCCCCACACTGAGCACAGAACCCGATTCTGGGCTCAGTGTGGGGCTAGATGCATTGTTTGATTCCAGGACCCTAAGAACATGACCCAGTCAAACAAAGTGAGATGCTCAACTGACTGAGCCACCCAGGTGCCCCACCTCTACAATATTTCTTGAATCTGGTCTCAAGGGATCAGATTTTGCTATGACCCAGAACATTCTAGGCATGGAAGGATTTTTTAATCGTAAAAGAAATGGGAAGTCACTGAAGGGATTTAAATAAGAAAATGAAAGGATTTGATCAGTGTAATTAAAAGATTACTAAATCTTTCACTTAATAAATAATAAATTATAATGTGGATAATAAGTTAGAAGGGACCAAGACTATTTAGGGAAAGGATATTTCCAGAGGAAAAACGATAGCGGTTCTTTTATGAATTTGAGGGTGTAGGAATAGGAGAATTGGGAGATGTGCTGCATTTTCAGTGGGACCCAGGAAAACTTAGCCAAGGTCTCACTGCTAGATGAAAACAAAACTATGACAAGAAATTCAAATATACACTCCTATTGATTGTAGTTGCTTTGACTTAGCTAATTTTCTTTGGTCAAATTAATCAGTATTCTAAATGAGTTATGTATATTCTTAAATCATTTGCTGATGAGTTGAAAGGAATTAGAGAAGTAGAATCATACTTAAAAAAACATTTTGTGTACTTAACACACACATCCGACTTTCCTTCCATGTTGTAGTCCCCCCCACCGGCTGTTGCAGTACTAGTATCCACGTATCAGCTTCATATGGTCTGCAATCTAGTTTTATGCAAACTGCTTTTTTAAGAGATTTTATTTATTTATTTGAGAGAAAGAGCACCCTGGGACTATGACCTGCGCTGAGGGCAGTCCCACTGAGCCACCCAGGCGTCCCTATGCAAACTGTTTTGACTATGTATGTACAAACACACAAACACACACACACACACACACACACACACACACACACACACACGTGTCTCTGGGGGCCTCTCGATGAGGTCTTTAACTTATTAATGCTTCAGAATCAATAACTGACTATGTTTTCAGTCTCGATTATACAGATATGCATATAACATAGTCTTTATTCTTAAGATACATAAAGTTTACATCATATAAATAGATAAATGACAAAATCACATTGCTAGTGCTAAGAAGGAGATAAGAACAAAGCTCTGGAAATTTGTCAGTTACACTGGTGTTTCGTCTCTTCCAGGTGACTTCTGAAATATGGCTCACCACAACGTTTCATCCTGCAGTCCTATACTGACACCCCATTTAACCAGGCTCTACTTCCTCGTACTCATTGGAGGGCTGGCGGGCATCATCTCCATTCTGTTCCTGCTGGTGAATATGAACACCCGATCTGTAACTACCACAGCAGTTGTTAACCTGGTGGTGGTCCACAGCGTTTTTCTGCTGACAGTGCCTTTTCGCTTGACATATCTCATCAAGCAAACTTGGATATTTGGGTTGCCCTTCTGCAAATTTGTGAGTGCCATGCTACACATCCATATGTACCTCACATTCCTGTTCTATGTGGTGATTTTGGTCATTCGGTACCTTATCTTCTTCAAGCACAAGGACAAAGTGGAATTCTACAGAAAGCTGCACGCTGTGGCTGCCAGTACCGGCATGTGGCTGCTGGTGATTGTCATCGTGGTACCTGTGTTTGCGTCTCAGTATGGAACTCACCAGGAGTACGATGAGCAGCACTGTTTTAAATTCCACAAAGAGCTTGATCGTGTATATGTGCGAGTCATCAACTATATGATAGTTACTGCTGTCATAGCCACTGCGGTGGTTCTCCTCATCTTCCAGATCTTTATCATCATGTCAATGGTGCGGAAGCTACGCCCCTCCTTACTATCCCACCAGGAGTTCTGGGCCCAGCTGAAAAACCTATTTTTTATAGGAGTCATCTTTGTTTGCTTCCTTCCCTACCACTTCTTTAGGATCTATTACTTGTACACGGTGGCACACTCACGTGACTGTAACGACACTGCTGCATTTTATAATGAAATCTTCTTGAGTGTAACAGCAATTAGCTGCTTTGATTTGTTGCTCTTTGTTCTTGGAGGAAGCCACTGTAAGCAAAAGATAATTGACCTATGGAATTGCCTCTTGTGCCATTAGCCACAAACTTCAGTATTCAGAACTCTTTTATACTGGGAGTAGAAATGGGCATAGAGAGGTAGGAAGGGTTATTTCATTACTTGATTAAAGTCATGCCATAATGCGGCCAATCAAAAGGACTATAAAATGTTAGAGCGTTCATTCCAGTCCTTATTTAATCCCTACCACCTCTAAATGATGCATATAGAAAAACTAGTGATGTTTAGTCCACCTAGAGTTGCAATACTGCATTATTTTCCTATATAAAAAGTTTACTTGGCCCATCTGGGCACCATGGGTCTAATGGTTTCTGAGCTTCACCAGCTTAGTTTAGTTTCATCAGTTTGGAACATGACCTTATTTGGGCTTTGGATTGGATTCAGCCCTCTAGTTCTTCTCATTCCACTTAACCTGCGGTAAATGAACCCTGGCAATTAATCAGCCCCAAAGATACAAACACCAGTTTGCTGATGAGATAAGATATCCACTCAACTCCCATCCTGACAAACAAGAGATAAAGGGGGAGAACAGGAAGAAACTTTTCTAGATTATAATTTTGGTGGGAAGTCACTTATCTAAAAATCAAGAGAAACAGGTCCTTATGACCTTCTGCTATAACAAGGTTATCCAAATTAGTTCTTTGAGAGGTCAAGTTTAAGGACATGGGATCAACATCCTCAATAACTCTAAAAATCATTTAAATCTTACTAAACTAAACAATGTAACTAACATGTAACTAAATAATCTATAATATAACTAAATGTAACAATGTAACTAAATTAATAACAATGTAACTAAGATCATTTCAATCTTACTAAATAAGGGTGAAATGATAAGTTAAAGAATGTTCCTGACCAATATGCTGCCAGGCATGAAAATGAGTTCCTGAGGGAAGTGATTACATTTTTCCCTTTCTGCTTTTTGAAAAATCTTTACATGTCTTGGGCCAGTTAATTTATATTTACCTAGGAAACAGAATGTTACACTCTTTACAGTTTCCTTCTTCCCTTAAGGTAATGAGTATTTAAATAAATAAAAACAATATTCTTAAAAAAAGAACTTTTGAAGAAATATATAGAACAATTAATTTAGACTATGAGATTAGTTAGACTACTAAATTGATACATAGGCTTGTGGGCTTTTTCCCTTCCTGCCCATATTTCTACTATTTCCCCCAAAGTTTCACAATTTTGAAACTTTACAAGGAACCGATCCAGTTTTATACCTAATGCTTCAGAACTAAAGCAACTTATGATAAGAATAGACTAGAATGAATTAAGGTAAAAAAAAAATTTCCCAGAAAAATGAAGGATTGGAATTTAAAGACTTTTTTTCTTAATTTGTTATAATCTATGGATCCATAAATTTACCAGATGGATAAGAAATATCCCTGAGTTTCTCTAATCACTAAAATTGTTGAGTCATAGAAATTAATTTAGAGGAAGAAAGCAACAACATGCTGCACAGACTTGTTCCCAAAATTTTCCTGTTTTAAAATTTATGTCCTTTTTTCTTTTTTAAGTTATATTTCCCTAATTTCTTATTTGTCTTCTTTTCCCATTGTTTCTTAGTTTTTTTTTTTTTTAAAGATTTTATTTATTTATTTGACAGAGAGAGATCACAAGTAGACAGAGAGGCAGGCAGAGAGAGAGGGAGGGAAGCAGGCTCCCTGCTGAGCAGAGAGCCCGATGTGGGACTCGATCCCAGGAACCTGAGATCATGACCTGAGCCGAAGGCAGCGGCTTGACCCACTGAGCCACCCAGGCGCCCTGTTTCTTAGTTTTTTTCTTCTCATTTTGACTTGCAACATTTGTAAGAAAATTTCTAAGACCTATAAAAATTTTAAGAAATTTGTTATACCCATAAATAGTAAAATATAATAATAGTATAGAATGATATAAATAGTAAAATATTAACATTCTTAAACAATTATTTTTGGAAATTACATCAAATTTCTCTTCTTATATATGTGTCTTACTATCTGTTAGCTTGTAAATTATATTATAATCTCTTCCAGATTCTACATATGTTGAGCTCAGGCGATTATGCTTTTCCCTCTATTATTATATATTATAATCAAGGGCTTATTTCTTTGGATCTATATGAAATATTACCCAAAATACAGAGATGCAGTATTCAAGTGTACTACTGGCATTTTGTTGCTGGGACAAGAGACTAGGCATCTTGCCTTGCACACAGCTCTCTGCATAGTTAATAATTACCAGGTGTTGTTGTGTATTTGAATGTTCTTCCAAACATTTATGAAAGGAAACATATGCTCATAATAATTAGTCAAGTTTTATTCAGTTTTCATAAACACATAGTATTTTTGGTATGGTTTTAATTTTATGAATTTTCTGAAAATGTAGCTACTAGGGATATGGAGGAAAGTTTTTATTCTGTTTTCCTCAGAACTTTACCAAGAGTTGTTCATTCCTTTGGAAAAGCACATCATCAATGTCAATACCATCTGTGGCAATAAAATACACAACATACCTGTAAACAATATTTGTAGCTGTGGTAATCAGGTAGATACTAGATGTAGGTGCTAACATCAGACGGCCTAATTTGTCTCCTTTTGTGAACATCTCTGAGCATTTATACATTAAAATATATATTACTTTATTATAAACAACTTTCTCCTTCATTATTCATTTATGTTACAGTTAGAACACTATATAATATTGTAGGAGGGTTATATTATCTGTAAACTTTGTTTTAGAATAGTACAAGTGTTACCAAATATTTGGGATAAAAAGTAAGGCTTTGGGTCTGCAAGCCTTGAGACCAACTGAGCTAGCACAGTCACTTTAAAAGAAAGATTTACCAATTATGACATTATGAATAGAAAAAAATATTCCTATATTTTGGGAGTATTTTTTTTTTTTTAGAGAGAGAGAGAGAGAGTGCATGCACACATGTGCATGTGTGCAAGCTGGCGGGGGAAGGAGGAGAGGGAGAAAGAGAATCTCCCATGCAGGCTCCACGCTACACTTGATCTTAGCCAAAAGGCCAAGAAGTGATAAGCAGGCTCCACGCTAAGCATGGAGCCCCAGACAAGGCTTAATCTCATGATCCTGAGATCACAACCTCAGCTGAAAGCTTAACTGACTGTGTTACCCAGGCACCCCTATTTTGGGAATACTTACCCTCGACTCGATTCAATTCTAGATTATTTCTTTTGTTTCTGTATTGATTAAAAGAGTAAATGCAGGGGCGCCTGGGTGGCTCAGTGGTTGGGCCTCTGCCTTTGGCTCGGGTCTTGATCTCAGAGTGCTGGGATCGAGCCCTGCATCGGGCTCTCTGCTCAGCAGGGAGCCTGCCTCCCTCTCTCTCTCTCTCCGCCTGCTTCTCCGTCTACTTGTGATCTCTCTCTCCTTGTCAGATAGATAATAAAATCTTAAAAAAAAAAAAAAAAGAGTAAATGCAACCTTTAAGAAAATACATGTGGATTTTTGTTTTTGTTTTTTTTGATAAGACAAAGGCATTTCCCTAAGCCTCACAACTCTCATATTGGCTCATGGTCAATATTTACCAGATTTTAATCCCAGGGATAATGACAATTTTTGAGGCACAAAAAGAAAGATTGCTTCTGGCACCCATTAAAAAGCTTTCTAATCAGCCTTTGTTTGTTACTTAATTTTCCTCTGAAAGGTCCTTTGAGTTCCCTTCCTCCTTAACCTGACATAAATTAGGGAAAAAGAAACTATTTTACCTCTAGGTGAAATGAACTTCATGTAGATTCATTCAAGAAGTGGTGAAAATCCCCCAATCCTCCTCTAATCCTTGTCAATGGGGCTGCCATTAAAACTGCATTTCTAGGTTAACAAAGCAGTTGTAAAGGAGGGCACTGAGCTGAGATGTTCTTGGTCATGGATTCTTGAGTGGGAAATCAGTGAGGTGAAAGTGTGAATGCCATTTCTAAGATTACATAGATTTTGCCCACTTAATCTCTAATAACAGAAGGCATAGACCAAGGACTCTCACATTTACTGGGAGTGGGAAGAACAAGGAAACTCTCTTTGTGATGGGGCTGATTACATCAAGTTGGAAATAGCTGGTAACAAAACCCTATAGTAAAGGGACACGGGGACGGTGGATTTGCTTGGATAAGGCTGAGAAGGCTTAGGATATAAAAAGGGATCTGCAGATATCCAAAACTAGGCATCAGCTGGACCCTGAGAAGAGCTTTGGCCATTGCATGGCTGAGCCTATTTCTGTGACAGAATAGGCATGCCAGATATTTGACAAGACAGAACTCAGAAAAATGAGCACGTTCTATTTCCTGAAGGAGTAAATGTATTGTCTGAAACTTCCAGAGATTAGGAGCTGGGCCCTAATATCAAAATGTACCAGATGGAGGCTTCAACCTGGGACACATTGTAAAAGCCCAGTGGTCAACACCAGGTACCACATTTTGGGTAGGATTAGCAGTGGTGGTCAGGATAGAAAAGGTGGGGACAGATGCTGAAACTGCTAAAAGCCTTTTGCTTTAGGCTCAGTCTCACCCTTCAGGTGGAAAGGAATCTGGACAACCTGCCTGCAGAAGCTATCAGGAACAGAAGACCGCATCTGATGACAAGTAGCTGAGAGCAAGAGGGGCTGAAGTAAGCCTTGGCTAGGAGTTCTGAGCAAGCAAGGGGCAGCAGAAAGATGTTGAGCTCTTGGAAAGCAGACAGGGCAACAAAGATAGCCCTTAAGAAAGATAGTTTTGCATAGCTGATGAGAAGATCCTGGATACCATTGTTTTATTTGAATTTTGTCATAGTATTTTATCATAGTATTTGTATTATGTCATAGTATTCATCAACAATGAATGGTTTTTTGAAAAGCTGAAAGCTTTTCTTCTAAGATCAAGAATAAGACAATGATGTCCACTCTTAGGACTTTTATTCAACATAGTATTAGAAGTACTAGCCAGAAAAAGTAGGTAAGACAAAAAAAAAAAAAAAGATAAAAGAAAGAAGTAAAATTGTCTCTATTTGCAGATGACATATTATATACAGGAAACCTTAAAGACCACCAAAATACTATTATAATAAAGGAATTTAATAAAGTTATAAGATACAAAATCAATATTCTAAGAACAGTTTTCTATCTATTATCTAGATATTTGTCTACTATATACTTTCTAGGCATTTCTATCTACTAATAACAAGGTATCAGAAAAAGAAATTAAGAAAACAATCCCATTTACAATTGAAGAATAAAATACTT